AACTTCCAGAACTTTAAGACTTTCACCTTTGTTTGATAGTAATTTAATTTACTTTATTAGTGCCACCCTGTATACCCCGTATATATCTAATAATAGGCGACCCTTTTCTGATCCACGATAAAGTGACCTAAACGCAGTGAATAGTCATCCTTGTGGGATACTAAATAGATACTAAAAGGATATTATAATAAAATTCAAAATTACTTTCAATAAAATTAAACATCCCTTTCATTAATTTCTGAATTACTACCGTATATTACCGGTAATTTTATACTACAGGTTAATTAATCAATTTATAATTAACTAGTGCCTAAGTTTCTATTTATAAGAAGGTTTCATTACTATCTCCTGATAGCGAATGGATCATAAATAAATTACCAAGTTCTAATAATTTCTAAATATCTAAATTAATGCCTCGAGCACCCTGCACGAAATTTAACACGTTGACTGCTGCACCGGGGGATGCTAATATGGTAATTGCATGTATAAAAGATGAGCCAATCATTTGCCAAAATTGAAATTACGGAATTAATTGGATATGCCGCGGTTATTAACACGTCGAACGCCTCGTTAATTTCACATGAAACCCGAAGAATGTATCGCGTCTCAACGGCACTCAACACGTTAATATCGAGCGAATATCCATTAGAATATAAATATTTCAAGTTGCCGAAACAGGTCGATTTGTTATGATTGCATATACGCTTTTTGGGGCAGGATAAAATTATAAAGGGAACTGGCATATATAAGTAATTACAATGCAGCAATTCAAAATTCATCATTTAACCGCGGCAATTTTCGCAAACGCCCTTAAATAATTAATTCGAAGAACATTGTCTGGAAATACGGAATAAACGGAACGTTAAAAAGACGCAAAATTGCATGTGAATAGGGTTGGAAAAATGAATATTGTAAAACCCTTTTGTATTATTCAGTTTCATACCTTGAAAAACATATTGTACATTCTCAGCTAATTCGATTGCATCGCAGGAGGCGTTATTTATCACCTGTCATTTGTCACTTGTCTAGCTATAACTAAAGCTTCAACTTTTAAGTTGATAAAATGTTGAATGTTGGGGTAGAAACGGCTTCCTCCATCCCCCAGCTGCGCCTATGTTTATACGAAAAGAAATGGTAATGACATTGGGAGAAAATTGTGGTACATTTTCCGTAGTTCACATGTCGCATTGTTCAAGTGAAAAGAGGGAAATTTCGCTAACGAACGCCCTTATCTTCAAAGCTCATCGCGTAAGCACATGCTTGCGGTGGCGAGAGCTTTACATCGGCGGCGAAAACCGGAATGTACAAAAGGCGGTTGCGCTTCCGGATAATTTAGCAAACCGCACGGTCGCTTTTCGGCCGGTAATTTTCTTTTATTAAAACAAAAATCCACCCCTTCTCGAACATTAACTTCATTGCTCTGTTTACTGCCTCGCAAATTAACCATCAATCACTTGCAGTCGAGGAGAGATTGATGAGCGATTGAATGTTGTTATTAAAACGTCATTCAAACGTCAAACTTGTCGTTTGTCAATAGATTTACATGTTTTAGGTGATACCCTGTATGCGGGAAATTATAGTTTTATTTACGGTTCTGTTTTGTACGGGGAACAATAAAATCTGCAACTAAATTGCAGAAAAATGCTAAACACATTCGAAGCACATCTGGCTCAGCTCAGAGTAAATTTTCAATTGTATTAAATCTTTGTGTAAACATACTTTCGAAACTGTAACGAGACATTTACTACGAGGTTCGCTCAGTAATTGGGTTACTGGCGCTGTACATTCAACAATTATTAGAGGATAATTCTGTAGAATTTTAAACTATAATTTATTGTAAATTCCCGCTACTTTTGGTGAGAAACTTTTAATTAGAAAAATGTAGGCTGTGTAGAATTATTGGTTGCTCCTCGTACAGATGTTTGCAAATAGAATAGTAATTAAAAGAGGACATTAAAAATAGCATTATAGCGGGGCGAAACGCGCGACACCAACGATGGATTCTATCGATATAAGTTGTAATATAAATAATAAGTGTGTATAAATGTGTAATAAACTCAGCGTATAAAATAATCGAATGCCCAATAAAACCCTCAGATGAACATTCAGCCGGTTCGTATAATTTTATTGCGATTTTATGGATTTGCGGCCAAAAAAATGGCAACAACTGATTATTTATTTGCTGATTTATAGTGGAAAGGTCTTCTGGAAAGTAATGAAATAAATGAAAATGCACTTATACTCCGTTCCTTATCTGGTGATAGTAATAAAACCTTATTCTTAAAGCAGTAAAGCATAAGTGTGTTAATAAATAAATTAAAAAGTAGGCACTATTGAATTTATAAAAAATAACGTCACGTTATTTGGAGATAAATGTCAAATCAATGTAACGTAATAAACGTCAGTATTGGTAAACATTTGGTAAATATTGACAAGATTGACATTTAACGTACGTCAAATTAGCGTTGTTAGACGAAGCTATATTGTTTGTTGTTAATTTGAGCATAAACTAACAAAAAAAAATACAGTAAATATACAAAATGGGGTGCAATAAAGCCGATGAGGAATTGAAGATACGTTTGAACGGCGGAAACGTTCCGCGCTATTTATTCCGAAATATTCTTATAGGTAATCTATTTCTGATTGCGGCCATAAAGGTTTTAGTACATCCGACAGTCCTTTAGCGTTTACGTCACTTCGTTATATCCTTGGCTGGGAGCCATATTAGACTATAAATTGTTATATCACCCCTTTTTGGAATACCTTTATTCATATTCAAATCTTTCTCGCCCTACTTTTTTGCCGTAAAATGTTTTAAGCGCAAATTAGAACGGTGGAAAATAATCGAGATGAAGACGAATGCGTAAACAACATGAATAAATTAAAAGTGGTATTAAAAGAAAATGCGTAGTAAATAGATTATGGAAAAAAATTGGGAGTATTTCTAAACTAAATTTTGACATTTCGTATTTGATAGTTTGATTGCATTATTTTGAACTTGTGACAGAAAATGTGCAAGGTGTCTCTGGAATATTGTATACAGGGTGTAGCCAATAATACCCACTTTTACTGATTATACCTAATATTATACAGATGGCTCCATTTTTCATTGCAGCATAGGCTATGGGTGCAACAAAGACAACTTCAATTAGACATTTATAAAGGAAAAAGAAAGAGTGATATTATGTCATTGCAACTTTTCACTCTGACAACTGTTATTTTATTAATCTTTCTTTGTTCAACTCATAGAAATGCCCATTGCAATCGCGAATGAAGCACGGTGTATAAATCCAGATTTTGCCACAACAAAATCTGGAAATGGCTAAAAAAACAGCCAAACTAAACAGTTAATATACTTGAAATGTCTTCATAATACGCGACACGGCCTACGCGAATATCGGAGAAAAGTTGCCAGCTCGAATTCCATTCCATTCCATTCCATTTCACATCCATTGTCCGGGAACAGGGAATTTCCTTTGTGACGGGCGTATCCTGGTGAAAATCTATCGTTAAATTAAGCGCACCGAATCGATTTCCATCACGTGTGAAATCGCATTTATCACCTTTAAAGGTCCGAATTCGTCTCTTTTGAACCACCTCAAGGAAACCGACTGCGTGGAAAAATTTGAATTTGTTTTGTTAACACCCTGTATCTCAAAGGTTAAGATGTTTAGGACTTTGGTTCATATGAAGTTTTCTCCTTAAAATGGATCCAGGTATCACCCCCTTAAATATTAGTATGTCATTTTGGAATATCCTGTATACATATATTTTTAACTAGTCGTGGGACACCCTGTATACAGATAAGTGCCAATTTGTACGTAATATAATTTATGGGCGCGACAAAGACAACTACAAATTTTCTCATAAAAAGGAAAAAGAAAGTGTGATAGTTATGAGGGATTGCAACTTTCTCACTCTAACCACTGTTATTTTAATAACTTGTTTTTATTCAACTCATATAATTTATAGTCAGTGATTTTCATTGTTGAGGAGTTAAAATCACACCAATTTTCCTGTTATACCGGAAATAGAGGCCTTAATTTCCTTTTTTTCGTGGTATTTTTACTTCATTTCCTTTTTAACCCATCATTTTCAAATGCAATATTAAACCCTTTACTATATAGTTTGACATAATTGACATATGCCAATCTCGACTTTTTTAATGATAGTATTACTAAGAGAGTATTGAATGTGAAAATGTGAAAATTACGATATATTTTTATTATCATAATCAATGCAAATTTTCAATCTTTTATTCAAGACAAATTGGAATCGAAATATTTATGAAATGTTAATTGTGTAATCATTAGTGCTGTCATCATTGAAAATTCTTTTATATTTAGTGCAGAAAGAACCTGTCAACACATTAACTTCAACGAAGAAAAGCTTGGAAAATGCAAGAGACAAATAAAATTTAGTAATTAAACATTGTCTTATTCATGCACATTTAAAAAAATCTTCCTATTTTTTATATAGATTCTTTTGCTCAAAATTTATCCTTGTTTAGTAGATATATTCCCGCTCGAAAAAAATAAGTCTTGTTTCATAAATTTCGCAGCGAATTTACACCGCGAACGCTCATTAATAAACCGACAGTAAACGTCCAATTAATTGATCGAAAAAGCTAAAAAATTAAACGGCATTAGAAAACTTTCAACATTCCTTAAACGTATTATTACGTTACGTGGAAATCTCTCGTAATCAATATACTAAAAACCTTGCCGTATTTATAAACTTAATCAATGGCACATCGCAACTATTAATCCCCCAGAAATTGATCTACCTACAACACAAAATTAAAAAAAAACATTCCTTTGTCCAACCACTATACACACACACATCCCAAAAGCAGGTCGATTAATTTACTCTAGCTGACCCCCCAGCGTTTCCCGAGATCTATCGGGGTGAACATTTCCATTTAGTGAACACACACACAGAAAAAACACACACACATACACATACACACACACAATCAACCAGCCTACGAAATAGGTTACCTTGAACATTTGCGTCACCTTCGGCAATGCCGCATTAGATCCATAAAGGGAACAGTTCGCATCGGCAAAACACCCTCCGCTGCGCCCGTCCAACGGAGACACACTGTCGGGAAATCCACCGAGCGAGTCGGGAAATTCGCCGGCCACGACTTTTCCGACGGACTGCCGCGATCGCTGGCTCTGCTCGCTCCGATCCGCCGCCGCGCCGCTTGGATTTCCACCGGTGATGGCCGACGTGCGACTGCTATTTTTATCGCACTCGGTATTTTTATAAAAGCTCGTGTTATGGTTGTCGCATTGTCGCCCGAGGGTCCTGCGGGTCGTCGCCGGACGTGGGGAACGGACGGTTGGGCGACACGGGATATGATATGATGATGATATGATGGAGAGTGGAGAGCTCGCGCGCATCCCGGATGCGTTCGGGACTCCGCGGGTTCGGTGGATTGGATGATGGTGCTGGGGGAAACGGGTCGTGGTGGTTCTTTGAAACTGTTGTTGGAAGCAGAAATTTGGATTAGTAGGTATACAGGGTAGCCCCAGAACTCACGCCCAGAACTCACGCCCCACCGGCAAACGACTTATTGAAACGACAATGGAGATGCCGAAACTGCACTTAAAAACATGAAAAAGTTATTCATTTGGTAAATAAAGAGGTTTAAAATTGACCAATCACAGTAGCAATTCACAAATGCGAAAATGACGTAAATTTGCTATACACCAATTTGACAATACATTATTGAAAGATTATTGAAAGTTCTTTTCACTTTCAAGGTTAACAAAAGCCGCCAAATTCAGCTGTGACTATTGATCAAAGATTTGCTTCCAAATCGATCATTCAGGAGCTCCGTCGTGCTGATACCAAACCTACAGAGTTTTTTTATTGTTTCAAAAGTGGTTCGAATCGAATGATCGATTTTTTGATTAATTTGGAAGCAAATCTTTGATCAATAGTCGCAGCTGATTTTGGCAGCTTTTGTTAACCTTGAAAATTAAAAAACATAGAATCTTTCAATAATGTCAAATTGGTGTGTAGCTCATTCACGTAATTTTTGTGGATTTGAACTCCTACTAGGATTGCTCCATTTTAAACCTTTTTATGTACCAAAGAAAGAATTTTTTCATGTTTTCGACTGCAGTTTTGGCATCTCAATTGAGATTTGTGAATTGCTACTGGGATTGGTCAATTTTAAACCTCTTTATTTACCAAATGAATAACTTTTTCATGTTTTCGACTGCAGTTTTGGCATCACCATTGTCGTTTCCATAAGACATTTCCCGGTGGGGCGTGAGTTCTGGGCCACCCTGTATACAGGGTGTTAATTAATAAATGCGACAAACTTCAGGGGGTGATTCTGCATGAAAAAATAATGTTATTTTGATATATAAACATAATCCGTAAATGCTTGGTTTTCGAGATACGGGGTGTTAAAGTTTCTTCTTAAAAACCGAAGATTTGTTTTTATTTCTCCTGGATATTCAAATGAAATTTGGTGGGTTTTGAGAGGTTTTTGACATAAAATTAAAAATTTTATGTTCATCATTGACGCGCATACGGGTAATAACATTTTTTTAAAGAAAAAAATAATATTTGTACGCCACTGAGGCATTTTTATTAAAAATTCAATTATGAATGAATTCCTCGTTCAATTTGTGACAAAAAACTCTCCTGTGTTTTTTTTGTACGGGCTGCTGTTTTCGAGTAAAAAAATAAAACATCTTGACGTGTATTTTTCATCTTTCATTTTTCATTTTTCTAAATAGTAGTGAAGAAACTCGCAGTTATGTAAGACATGTTCACAACCAGTTTCAGTTTTGCAAAATAGAGTAGACCGCATACTAGACTGGCACCTAATTAATCAAAAATTATTACTTTATAGAACACTTCTAACAAATTCAAAACTAGTTAAATAAAATACTTTACAAAATCGAAAATATTCTTCCGAAAATGCCAAACAACATAAAAAGAGACAGACACCCCGCTGGTATATACAACACCTTTAATCAGTTAATCAAAATAGCGAGAATCCACGTGCAATTTTCCCATTTTGCCCGCATTATTATTAAAGCCGATGCGCAAAAGGGCTAATTCCACCAAACACCCTAATTGAACAATCGTATATTTCGAACTGGCTAAATTACGAGGGGGGCGAGAAATGCAACAAGCTTCGTCGTTTTTACCGCTGTAAAAATAAATAATTCACGACGGTCGGATAAGGCATTCAAGTTGCCGCTTAACAAAGGAAAATTGATTTTTACCCATTTTACGATTTAATACGTCGGAGAAAACGGCGATCGCATGTATAGATGACCTATTTTAATTCGCCTTTTCAATGTCGAAGTCTACAAGGAACTGGAACTTTTTGCAATTTTTTTTACCTTTAAGAAAATTGGCTTGGGAATAATAAAATTACAATAATTATGTCCCGATTTTTTTTCACTCGATTCACTAAATTATATCCATTCTATGTACTAGTATCATGTTGCGAATGAAGTTTGTAATGAATGTCAAAAATTACGTTGGTAATACTGCTTGTCATTCTTAAAATATTTTTGTTGATCATAGTTGGCAATTGTTTAAAAAAGGGTGTCAATTCGAATCTGCCCATTTTGCTTCTGAAAAAAATTTAAACGCGTAATAAAAAAATAAAAATTCAATATAATATAGTGACAAACGCCTTATAATAATTAAATAATCTAAATATAAAGTATTCAATTTACATAGTAAATTACATTCGATATTTTAAAGTAAATCAGTAAATCACTAAAAAAATTAAAAAATAAAATAAACAAAAAAACCCCTGTGTGAAACAATATAAATTTTGTACATTCTGTACAATTTTGGACGTCCTGTAGTACAGCAAATTCACTTGCGAATAACAAATTTATTACAAAAAAGTGGTACAAAAATGAAAACTACTTAGTCCGTCTACAATATTCATACATTTTGCTCGTAGTTAATTTCCTCGGAAGCGATTTTTAAATATTAATTAGCGAATAATCGTCCGCTAAATACCCATCATCAAACAGCCTGTGTATTTTCGAATTAAAAGTAATTACCGTTTTCGAACGAGAAGTGGGAATTTGCCAATGCGGCTAATTAAAATCTTAAAGGGTATTAAGGAAGGAATGAACTGCACTCGTTAAAAGCTAATAATACACCCCAATTTTTTTATGCCATTACGTTATAAGTGGATATATCTGTTTTTTATTAAATTAGGTCTCCCTAGGGTAGGGTAAATTTGATTTACGCCAGGCAACGGGAGTGGGAGATATAATAATGGATAATGTGTTTCTGGTTATTGCCAACTTCACGAATTATTCCATTCATATCCCTAGGAAATGGAGTTAACAGACAAAGACATAGTAATTATAAACGTAGAGAGAATGATGTAGGTACTGGGTGACTATGAATTATTAAGGCTCAACTAAGTTTGTTTGAAATTGATATGAAAATGTTTTGCTTTCCTGACAAAGTATTAATTTTGTTTGTAACAAGTTTTGAATGGAAAATGTGTTGTTTAACAGTAAATTTTCGTTGCGATTTGGTAGAATTTTAGGATGCCTCATAAATGATAACTTTAGTTTGTAAAATCATTTTAAAAGTCGACTAGTTTGGTTAAATATGTACGAAATTTGTAAAAATAAAGACCTTAAAAATCGATTAATTTAGTAAAATATTCTATGAAATCATCAAATTTAAATGCAAAAGCTTCTAATACCACCTTAAATATCGAATAATTTTGTAAATAGGCTAACAAACAACAAATCTACTTGTAATACCCTAAAAATATCTAAAAATGTTTTTAAATTTTCACTATAATTTTCATTACATGTTCAGAACATTACTGAAACAAGCTACTGAAATAAACCTACTCCCTAACAAATTTAGCACAAACAATATTTTTTTAAATTGAAACAATCCACTAACCTACCCTTGACAGTACTTTCTAAGCACCATAATTTATAATTTTTCAATCATCTCTCACCTCATCAATATCCATATCTACACACTTCATTATTAACTCCCTTACAACCATCAGTGCAATTATCCACACCTCAAACATAATTTTCCCTATAAAAACAAACCATCCAATCGATTCCTTGCATCCATTCTAAAAAATGCAAGGCAACAATTTCTTAAAGTACCCCATTCTGATGTCCAAAGCCACGGGCCAATGGCAGTTCGAGCACACCTCCGCTCTCGTATCAATTTACAACAAATTCTCCGACTTTCTTCTGATAATCTTCATCTTTTGCACGCACTACATCGTCCTGGCGCTGCCTTTCTACTACAAATGCGAAAAGGCCTTGATCGAGATCATTTTCTACTACGTGCACTTCATCATAGCCATCGTCTTGACCGTGCTGCTGAAGTCCAAGAGCATCAGGTCCTTTCTGAGATGGATCATTCGGTACGAAAAATCCACGCGATTCGAGCACCAGCAGGAAATCGAAATTTACCAGTACTATTGCAAGATGAATAATAATATCACCGTGTTTTTCGTTATCGTTATTAATATCGTTTCCTGGATGTGGTACGCGCTTAATAAAAGGTGAGAACGAAGGTTTTAATGCTTGTTTCAAAAATATCCAGTGTTAATTTTCATTTTTTGAAGTTGATCTCGTTTCATCACTTGCTTAATTTCCTTATTTGCTTCCTGCATATTTTACTTCATTTTTAGTTTTATCTCTTTCTTCACCTCTTCCTTTACTTTACCTACACCTTTTCTTATACCTCTTTTTTACCTCTATGCCTTCTTCTTTACCTCGTCATATACCTCTCCTTTTACCTTATCCTCTACCTTATTCTCTACCTTATCCTCTACCTTATCCTCTACCTTATCCTCTACCTTATCCTCTATCTTATCCTCTACCTTATCCTCTACCTTATCCTCTACCTTATCCTCTACCTTATCCTCTACCTTATCCTCTACCTTATCCTCTACCTTATCCTCTACCTTATCCTCTACCTTATCCTCTACCTTATCCTCTACCTTATCCTCTACCTTATCCTCTACCTTATCATCTACCTTATCCTCTACCTTATCATTAAATGTACAGGTAAAGGACAAAAGTTCTTCACCTCATCCTTTACTTCTCTCTTCTTTTCAGGGTCTCTCCCTCCGAAGAGCTGGGTCCCCATTGCCCGGACATCAGGGGCTACGTCTTCAAGATCTGGTACCCATTCGAGATCGAAGATTTTCCCTGGATATGCGCCACCTTCGATTTCGTCACCGTCTTCTGCGGAATGATGCTGTTTTGCTACTACAAAATCATGCCGATGTCGCTGATCATATTCCTGATGTGCCAGCTGAACTTGCTGAAGTTCAGGATCAGGAGCTTCGACGAGACGAAGGATCGGAACGGGCTGGCGAGATCTGAGCGGCTGGCCGGGATTTTCAGGATGCATCAGCTTTGCATCAGGTGAAGGGGTGCGTTGTGCGTTCGGTGGGTTTAATGGGTTTGTGTTGAAGGTTGATGAATTGGATACAGTATTCGTTGAAGGAGATAATTTTGATACAGTATTGCAGTTACGTGTTGGACACGGCTGCTTTTATGATACAGTTGTTGACGGTAAAATGAGATGTTTGCCGGTTGAACAATTTGGTTAATTGGTATGAGTTTCAGGAGGAGACTATGAGAGGGAAAATGCCTTGTTTCGCGGGTTTTATGATGACGGTGATACAAATGTACATATTCTTTTGGTTCGCCAACGAAATTCAGGAAGAAGTAATGGCAATTTTTTGTATTATTTAATTCTGGCATATTGCTTGTAGAGTAAAACATTATCGGATGTAATTTACAATGAGATAAATTGGATAGACGCCTGTAAAAGCGAGAAGAAGATGCTGATGTTGATGATGATGAGATCGCAGCAAATGCTGACCCTCAAAGTAGCTGCTATAGGTGATTTGTCCCTGAATTCCTTTACGAAGGTAAATTTTTGCGCAACTTGTATAATGATTGTACAATAAATTGTTCAACAGTTCAGTTCTTCCTGTCGAATCTCAATATTTATATCTCTGTATAAAGGTAAATTTCTGAACGATGAATGTTCAATGACTGTACAATGAATTGTTCAAGAGTTCTTAAAGTTTAATATTTATATCTCTATGAAGGTAAATTTCGACTTTGATTGTTCAATGGTTGATCAAACATTGTTCAACGATTGTACAATGAATTGAGTATTCATTGATTATTTTGTGGTTTTATCTAATTCCCTTAGATCTATTATCTTGTAGATAATGCGTTTGTGCTACTCAGTAGTAACTTTCTTCACGACAGTATACGACAAGTAAGTTAAGATTTAATGGATTAAATTAAATTATCACACGTAATTATTGCAATAAACATGTAGTTCAATCATCTTTATCACTTTATTTTATACCTTCTTTTGAAACTAAATAAAAGTTCCTGGTACAATCAAATATATTCTAATTAGTAACATCTAGTAAATTTGGTAATGGTGATTGTTAACGTATTCTTGCGTGTCCGGGTTTTTGATGATGCTGATATGATCGCCAGCCATTTTGGTTACAGTAGGGAGACTCTTGAAGTACTAAAAGAGAAACATTCCTTAATAACATTACAACTACTAGCTAGAATAAAAACTTACCGAAGTCATTCCATAGTAATCGAAGATGCTGCAATCTTCCGGAACGAGCACGTGAATTTGCCCAGCAGCTATCGCCTCCTCTCTCCATTCGAACGATTTCACCCTATCGATGAAGTCCTTGACCACCAAAAGCCCTTTCTCTATCAAACTCTTCTCCTTATCGGTTTTCTCCACTCTTCCCACCAGCAATTTCACCCTATCCTCGAAACTAGCGCAGCTCTTCAGCGGCTGGATAATCTACCAACAAATAAATATTTTTTATATCTATCGAGCATCTTCAAGCAGAACACCAACCTCCATGTCGTTGATTTTGAAGGCCATCCTGAGCAAATCCACCTCGAATTCGACCCCGTCGTCGCCCAGAAGGTTTTTGAAGCCTTGCTGGATCCTCACGGGAGCGCTGTCGATGAAGAACAGCGTCAGGGTGGCGTTTCTCTTGGCCAGTTGTTTGGCTATCAGGATTGCCAAAGGTCCTCCGGAGGACGTGCTGACGATGTTGTATATCTCCTTGCGGTACACCTCGCTCATTTTCTACAAGCATAAGTCAAATAACTTACACAATAACGTGCAATGTAGAAGGGATTCTAATGTATGTATAGTTCATCTTAAAGCGCTTAAGTAAGTTCTGGATAAAGAAGATATGTTTAGCTTATGATTGCAATATTGTTACCTGAGCGAAAACTTCAGCAAGTTTCTCCAAAGGCCACGGCGCGGAAGGGTATACAGCGTAGAAAGTGGGATAGAGGAGGTTCCTGGTGAATATTTCCAGTTCCTTGTTGCCGGCGAGTCCGGGAATGATGAATACAGGAATCAATTCCCTGATTTCCGCCGGACCTTCTGTCACCACCTGCAGCAAGTCCGGTTCGCTAGGAGCGTTCTTCTGGCGTTGGATAATATCGTCGATTTTGGGGATCAATTTGGATATATCTGCAACGAGATTGTGCGATTTTTGAACTGCATCCAGAAAGATTACTGTATTGAAACCTACCGTTGATCACGGCCTTGCTGGAATTGACAGAAGAATCGTCGGATCGGTACCTCTCGATCACCACATCGTTCGAATCCGAGCTCAAAACGATATCCAAACTAGCCACTACGCGTTGGATATCCTCTTGATCCGGCATTTCGATGTTGATGCCGGAGTATCCAGACATCGCCCGTTTGTAACAAACAGCATTCGACGATTTGGTGATGTTCACCAAGGTCGCCTTCGGTGCTACTTTTCTCAAAGCCTCATCGAAGTACTGCACGACGCTGTTCTCATCGCTCAGAATGAACGTCACGTGAATATCACCCAGATTCACCACCTCAGCAAGCAGCTGGTGGGCGTTAGACTCAGACGGGCCGTTATGGGAGGCTGTTATCAGATCGGCTCCGTAGTAGTTTTCCAGGATGCTTAGTCTTCTTTGGAGGTGGTTTTCTACAAGTCTACCATCGCTGCTTATTATTATTTTTTTGGCGCCTCTGTGCACCAGCCATTCGGCTACGTGCAGCCAGTTGTCGGCTGATCCTCCTGCAGAAATCGGATAATAGGTTTCGAAACGTCTGGATAATTGTGGATTATCTTACCGTAGATCAGATAGGTGTATTTGGAGCCGCATGCGAACCGATGGGGTTCGTTTACATTAAGTTTGTTAACGTTAAAGTTGTTTACTGCGCTGATGATCAGCTTTCCTATCGTATCAGGAGATTCTAATTTTCTGGAAAACGTTAAAGATGGCTGCTATTTTGTATGTACCACCGAATCGAACTCACCTCATAATCTGGGAGATGTTGTGATGATTAATAATCTCCTTCTTCAACGGCCTGACCACGAACTTCTTGAATCCCTCTTGGATCAAATCGCGCAGCTCCTTCTTCAAGTCGCCGTCCTGGTGGAAGACGTTCTGCAGGTCCACGTGACAGAAGTCGACGTTCCGCAGGAACACCGACATGCCCACGGTGGTGCCCTCCTCCACGTCGTACTTGCAGTACTGTATAAACCGGCCGAACTCCGCCATGCAGTTGAACGAGCACTTGAGCAAATTGCCCGACAGGCAGTTCAGCACCACCTTCACGCCGGTACCGGCCGTCGCCGTCATCACCTCGGCCTCGAAGGAGGCGTCGGCGGCGAAGAGAATGTTCTTCGGCTTCAGCTGAATAGGTAGAAAAATCGAATCACTTTAGATGGTGTTTCTTGGTGGTTTGTTGGGACTTACGAAAACGTACTGCTTTTGCAGGAACACCTTCTGGCGTACGGTGGATACTGTGGTGAAGATTTCGCAACCGTAGCTGTACGCTATGGACATAGCAGCAAGACCGATTGGGGAGCAACCGGCGTGGATTAGCACAGGCTCTCCGTGCTTTAATCTAGCCTTCACTATCAGCATGTAGTACGCCTGGAAATGGAGATAGAGAGGATTTCTAGCATCGATTTCCATCGATTCGGCTTCTACTTACACTAACGTACGCATGAGGAATGGTAACAGCATCATCTAAAGTGAAGTCCTGCGGTACTTCCCACGTCAGCACGTCGTCGACCACCAGCTTGGAGTTCTCCTTGTCCAAATAGGCCAGTCCCATGACCCGCTGGCCGGTCTTGGTGACGCCGCTGTAGTCTATGTTGCCTATTTCGTTTCGGTTCTTCAGCTCGGGCGTGACCGTCTCGTCTTTCAGGTTCAAACTGATGTAGCTGATCTGCTTGTTCTCGATGATGGGTACTCGAGAGGCCTTCATCTCGCCGGTTTCGTCCAATTTCAGCGTGAGCGGTACGTAGGAGTACCAGCGGCCGTCTTTCAGGATGCTCAGAGAGAGGTCCTTTTCGATGGCGGTGCCCAGGCTGCTGGGATTCTGGTCCAAGTTGTAGAAAACGCTGATGTTCTGGGTGGATGTTAGAGCTCTAACGCCTTTCAGGAAGTTCAGGAAGCCTTCCACGGGTACATTGGGAGATACCAGGAGAGTCGGTTGATTGGGGTCTTGCTTGGTGTTGTTTACCAACTCCTTGACCCACGTGGCTTTCTTCTCGATGTCTTTGAGCGTTACGGGGGTGTCGTTGATGTGGATTACATTCGGTTTGGTACTTACAGCCTACATTAAAGCATTAACGAAGCCATTATACAGGTTGCTCCATTTTTGATCGCAACATAGGTTATATAGGCTATAGGTGCGATAAAGACAACTTCTATTAGACACTTATAAAGGAAAAGGAAAGAGTGACATTTGTGTCATTGCAACTTTTCACTCTGACAACTGTTATTTTATTAATCTTTCTTTGTTCCACTCATAGAAATGACCATGTTGCAATCGGAAATGGAGCAAACGATATAATAGTCTATATTTATAAAAGTGAAGCATTTACTTTGAAGTAAAAGGTAGAGGGAAAAGATAAGACTCAATAAGAACCTTAAACAAAGGTTTTAAAACTAAAAAAACTTGCTTTAAAGCAACAGCAGGGTCCTCGAAGCAAAACCTCTTTTCCTTCTCTTCTTTTTACGCACATACCGTGAAGCAAATCCTTCATTTTATGAAGCAAAAGGTTATGCTTCTTTTCATGAATACGGCCTAATAACTTTGATGGTATCCTAAATACAAATAGATGTAGGATAAGTACTTTAATAGAGTGATACCTTTTTGAAAATGGCGTAATGGTCTTGACCGGATCGGAATCTAGCCACAACGGACACTTTGCTGTCGAATTTCTGGTCCATTTTCGCTTTGGTAATCATAAACAGAGTGCTCGAATTGGACAATATCGATAGAACATCGGGAGTGACGAAATCGTTGTAGACGAAAAGTTGTGGGTACTTTTCCACCAAGATCATTTGCTTCTTCTCCTTGATGCAGGTGTAGTTGATCTGAAGAAAGAAGATTTTGCAAAGAAGTAGTGTACTTCAGCGGTTGTGGTACAAATTGCTTACGTTGGTTTTGTTGGTTGCAATGAACGTTTTGATGTCATCTTGGAGGGAATTCAACGTCTCCAACTCGGTGACGAATATTTTATCCGTGGCCGAACCTTTGAAATTGCTTATGGCCAATTGGATTGTTTGCTCAATGACTGATTGAATATTCTGAAATATAATTAGGAAGATTGTTCAAATAGAGAACATTTTTTATGATTAGTCTATGTAAGAATTGATATTCTCTTCGAATTTTTGCTACAAGGAGCAGTAGTTTGTTATTTCCTCCATTAGCTCCAGTTACTTAACACCAAGTTGGACAAATTAGAAGAAGAATTTGAAAGATGTGGATTAAATTTTGAACAATCAAAATCAACTTTTACGCTATAACGATTAGTTAAACGTATTAATCTTACTTTGGACTCAGCATCTTCCAAAGCAATCATATTAAACGAATCCAATTTCACTTCTAGCTCCTTTTTGTTGCAAGGAGCAGTCCTAAGGTCGAAGATTTCCACTCCAGGCGCCGATATAGTCTTGGTGGCGTATTCGAAATCGACGTTGGCGTCGGCGTCGTCGGACGTCGGAAGCGCCCCGAATACAATACTAATCTTCTGTATATACCTAGGCATGCACACCTCCTGGTTCCTCTCCCCCGACACGAACAGCTGCTGCTGTATCATCGACTCCACCAAATCCTGCCACCTCTTCGTCCACTTCACCGCCGTCTTGGAGCCTGCAAAACCTACAGTCAAACCCACGAAACCACCTCGAACGAACCCTCACCTTTCTGGCTCAAAATCATCCCCTTGATGCCCTTGTACCTGTCCTCCAGCTGGTATCCCCGGTGGCCGAACTCCGTGTAGACGTCGCCCTGCGACAGCTGCACGCTTTTGTCGTTCACCGGAATATCAAGGCTCTCTAATTCGCCCATATCGGCCTTCTCCTCCACCACGGTGATGCGGCCTTTCATCACCAGCTCGCTGCCCGAGAAGATCTCGAACTCGCCGCTGCCGTGCTGCATCATCGCGTACAGCGGCACGAAGCCGATCTTCGGCAGCGCCAAGTTCTTCTTCACGTGGATGTTCTCCAAGACGACTCCGTATCCGGTGAAGGCGTCGTCCGTAATGTTCATAATTATATCCTGAACACGATCGAAGGTTGCTTAATTGAAGGTGAATAGTTAGAGAAGTTAGCTTACCAGGTAAGAGGTGATGGGTAGTATGGCTTGATCGTGGATCTTGTGGTTCAAACAGTGGACGAATTCGTCGGAATTGACGTTGATGTCCACGTTTCTGACGCCCATCACGTTCTTTTGGGCGTCGTCGGTTCTGCTCCAGGTCTCCGAGTGGTTCCAGTGCACCAAGTCGGACAGCGATGGGGTGTTCCTGCTCACCGGGTACTCGATTTTGGGGTAGATGTTCGCCAGTTGCATATCCAAACCGGCCAAGTACATTCTGCGGAACAATTCATTTGGATATCGGTACAACTAATCGCGATACACCAGTACTCACTTTCCCAAGCTGTTCAGTAAGAATTCAGCGCTGCTCTTGGCGCCTCTCTTGGTCAAAGGAATGCTGGTGCACTCCTTCACGGAGCGCTTCAAAATGGCCTGCAGCAACCCGTGCGGGGCGATCTCTATCAACACCGAGTCCTTGGGTATGTGCTTAGTGCCTTCCTCGAACAACACGGCGCTCAGCAAGTTGTTGGTGTGGTACTCGGCCGACGAGTGCCTCGCCAGATCCGAGTCCCAGTTCGATTCGGCGTTCGACGTGCTGATCCACTTCGACGACCTGGGCATCGGCTTGGTCAGGATCTCCTTGAGGTACTTGAGCAGCAGCGGAGCGGCGGGCTTGATGTACCGGCTGTGGTACGCTATGTTCGCCACGTTCACCAGCTTGGCGAACACGCCTTGGCTCTGCAGCGACTCCACGAATCTCTCCATGTCCTCGGCGGGGCCGGAGATGGTGCAGCTGTCGGAGCCGTTGCGGCAGGCCACTTCTATGGTGGGCGGCAGCCTGTCTTTTATCTGATTGTAACCGAGACCTGAGAAACGCGGGTTTAATACGAGAGCTGCGGTGAGTTCGATGCGTTTACCTATAGCAGCCATCATTCCTTGAATTAAGGTGGCTTCGACGGAAGCCCTACCTCTGGAGTAGGAGGATAGGATCATTTGTTCTGCAGTCATGCAGCCGTCTGCGTAAGCGCAACCTAACTCACCCACGGAGTGACCTATGATACCATCCGGTACTATACCAAGTACAGTTAACACGTCCGTCAAAGCGATCTGGGGATAATATTAAAGTGCTACAAAGGCTTTTGGTGTAAGAAAGGAGTTTAGTGTACCTGCATGGCTGCGATGCCGACGAAGCAGTTCAATATGTTATCGAAGATCCCATTTTCTTGGTCGCTCAAGATGCGCATCAGGTCGATGCCTTTTTTCTCGAGGATTTTGCAGCATTTTCCGATCGATTCCGCGAACGTTTCGATTTTCATCAGATCGCCCAGCATGCCGTTCCATTGGCTTCCCATGCCTGAGTAGACGAACCAAATTGGTCGCTTGTTACCCATGTGATTCTGCGGCAGAAACTCAATTAATTTACATTCAAACGTTATTGCGATTGGCTTACAATTATGTCCTGTTTGGTGTCTTCTTCGCCCATTAGAAGATACCCGCGGTATAGATGACCCTGGATGGATTTGGAGAATACATCATGGACCAGTTTGTAGTACTCTGGATCCTTAGGTTTTTGTTTGAACTAAAATCAACACAATGTTATTTATATTGCTAGGATTAAAAGTTATTCTTACAGTTTCTAGAATCTTCATGATTCCTTCTTCAGTTCTGGTCGAAGCGATAAGCAGGGTGGGCAGCTCGACAGGCTTCAAAGGCTTCTTAGCCTTCGGATTGGCCTTCAAGATCAAGTGGCCGAAATGGGCGCCGGTACCGAGAGCGTTGACGGCGGCGTAGTTGATGCTCATCTTCTTGTTGGTGGTCACCAGCTCGATGCTACCGTCGCGCAGGGGCTTTATCTCCGGATTGGGTTCTTCCACTTGCAGCGTCGCCGGCACGACGCCCGTCTCCATGGCTACTATCGTCTTGACTATGGAGAACATGGCGGCGGTCGGCTCCGCGTGGCCGGTCACGGTCTTCACGGAACCCACCGGCACCGGCGACGGGCGGTTCTTGCAGTAGATCTTCTCCAGGGCTTCCAGTTCCGCCTTGTCGATGTTCTGGATAGAAGTAAATTTTGTTTCGATTCGTTACTGGAGCAGTGCATAAGAGAAACTTAGTGGATACTGATGGTGAGATACGGTAAGATAGAAGGGTATCTAATAATGTATGGTACCCAGTAGATGTAGTACTGGAAGGGTATGGTGAATGGAGATGATTAGTGCAGGATATTATAATTGTGAATGATGATGTAAGGGATTGAGGACTTAATCTACATAAATGGTATTCACCAAGAGTACCAAATAGTACCAAAATTAGTACTTATAAGCCTTGGACCTGAGTCCTACCTTGAGACCGCATCCGTGCCCTTCGATGAAGTCGATTTCCGTGGGCTTGACGGGTGATTTTTTGTAGAACTCCTCGAGGAACTCGACCATTTGGTCGGTACCGACGTCGAGGAACCCGCCGGGATTGGTGCCGTCGAATCGCGACGCCGCGTGCACGACGCTCGCGTAATGGCGACGGGCTTTTGAAGCTCTCTGGACGTAGAAGGCGACCACTCCTTCGCTGCGGGCGTACCCGGAACCTGGTGCAAAATACAGAAATGATGATGAAATGAAATTCTTATTTTAATATTAAACATTAACATTTAAGGACGTTCCTCCGCTACTACAAAATAACAGACGCTCAATTCTCGGAAATATTGTCGCTTTACTTATTTATTACATAATCCTTGCTCTTCTAATTATTAGTCTCCTGCTGATTTTCCCGTCGAACAAACTTGTAGCCTACGATATTTTTCGTACGCCACTGGGAGAGACCCTACGAGAGAATTTAGTACCTACTATTTTGGAATTAGAGTATAAGTAGTTGATTTGACTTCATTTTAATTGCTTGTATAATCTGGCAAAACCAGGGTCCTATATTTCTAAGGACTGGAAACATAGGTCGAAAAAGTGTCCCGTTATTTAAGGATAAAACAGGGTTCCTAAAACGGCCGCTAGGAGGCGATGTTATAAAGGACCACGGTTTTTTTCCGTACGAATTATATAGAATTTGCATTAAGAAAGGTTATATTCAAACTAAAAATAGGTACAAAATATAAAATATACTTAAATCAGCGATGGATTTTGTTGTTAACATCATGCTTCACGTATCTTCGGTTAATGTATTTCTCCATTTTCTCCTCAAAATGTCAAAAAATTATTTTTGAAGTTTTGACAGCTTGAACTGTCGTCTGACAACCGCGATTTATATGTAACGCGACGCTGATTGGCTGAGATAAGTTGGTCCTCCGATCGTTCGCCACGGTGCGGCGCAAAAGTGAAGTTCAAAAAGTCCTCAAATAACGGGACACATTCTCTAATGCATAGGAAGTTTCCAGACCTTAGAAATATAGGGCCGTGGGCAAAACCATCTTTCTTAGTTGTCAAGTTTTAAAATTTGTTAATTAAAAAGAGATTTGTTAAGAAAAAAAAACCGGTGACAAAAACAACGTTGTGAAGTCATCTGTCATTTGTCAGATGATGAGAAAACTTGAAAACTATATGAAAATTTACTAGCTTTGTACGTTATTTATAATAAAATGAAAACCGCTTGTTATTCTTATTTTTAAGGAAACATATTTGTTATATCTTCAAATTAATGATTCTCAGTTTCTCAAAACAATCGTAAGAAAAGTACGATTGTTATTTAATAATAGGTTCGCTTGAACGTCCATCAGGATAGTGCTCGCATGTAAAATACCCAAATTTTAAAAGCCAATATTTACAAATTTAATGCCGCAAGGACTATGGACAAAATTTCTAAGTATAGAGGACACTTATAACTATGTGTAATCAAAGTTTCTATTGAATTGTAAGAAAACTGATTTTTTGCAGAAACGTCCTTAACGTATAACATTAAAAAAATCCCCAATTTAAGTGCTCACCATTAGCATCGTAGGCTTTGGTGCTCCCGTCCAAAGAAAGCACACCCAAATCGTTGTACATGACCTGGAATTCCTCGTGCTGCGCCAGATTAGCGGTACCCACGATGACGGAATCGCATTGGCCCGTCTTGATCGCATAGTAGGCTAATCTCAGCACCTCGATGCCCGATATCCAGTTGGCGTCGTAGGCTACACTGGGACCTTAACACACGATTATTACAACGTGTTTGTTTGAGCGGAAAATTCTAGTCACCTTTCAAATTGAGCCAGTAGGAGACGCGATTGGCCAGCATCGCCCTGGCATGGCCGGTGACGCCGAAGCCGCTCACCACGGACTCCATGAACAGCTGGTCGTTCTCGCCGATGGTGGAGCCTATGAAGACGCCGATCCTTTGGCCTCTGACTTCCGCCGGGTTGACACCTGGTGTTTACTGAGGTTAGAGACGTTCGCGCGGGGAATTCGAGCACTTACCGGCGTCGAGGAGGGCCTGGAAGGTGGCCTCGAGCACCAAGCGGTGCATGGGGTCCATGAAGAAGCATTGCTGCCGGTGGATGCCGAAGTACGAGTTGTCGAAGTAATTCGATTCGACGCAGCCGACTAAGTTGGATCTTTCTTTGTCTTAAATAAGATAATTATTTTGATGTTTTTATTCATTATTTTGAAAAATATTTAAGTCTAGGAATAGGTAATATTTACGTATCTTGAATAATTTGTTAATCAATACCTGATTGATGTAAAATGCAGTCAAAAGGTGAGTATCCTCGACCTCTATATTGCATTTATTTATTGTTATTTTGAGGAACAATGGTTGTTTATTAAATCAAATTGATGCAATTCTCAGGAATAAATCAATAAATAAAGAGTGTCTCGCATACAATTTAGGAATTGTAACTTAATTATGACTTCCAATGACCCTAATCCACCCTATCCCAATTTATTATATCCCCATTTCTTCTATTCCAATTTACCCTGTGCCAATTTCTACTTTTTTCCAATTTACTTTATCTCAATTTACTCTATCCCCATTTCTTCTATTCCAATTTACCCTGTGCCAATTTCTTCTTTTTTCCAATTTACTCTATCTCAATTTACTCTATCCAAATTTACTGTATCCCCATTTCTTCTATTCCAATTTACCCTGTGCCAATTTCTTCTTTTTTCCAATTTACTGTATTCCCATTTCTTCTATTCCAATTTACCCTGTGCCAATTTACTCTACACCAATCTACCCTCTCTTTCAATTTACTCTAGCCCATTGCAATTAATTCTATCCCAAAATCGCCCACCAAACGTGGTTCCATGAACAGTCCCTTTGCAGTGAATTTAATCACCCCAATTTACACTTACTTTCGGGCCATTTCGGCTGGACAAGGTACTTGTTTTCGAACAACTTGTTCTTGAACTCTTCCGTATTGTCGCACTGAGGGTAGGAGCCGCCAATGCCGCTGATGACGACGTCGTCGGGAACGGTATCCATTGTAATTACTTTCGAAGGGAGAGAAATAGATTTCGCACCAACAACCGCCAAGTTACAGTCGATTGGAGGGCTCCTCGATCGGTATTTATCGGTTCCGAAAGGTCGCGTTTAGCATAAAAGTTCAGGAGACAATGAACTGCATCGTACGAGTTCAATTTCGATTTGAATATGTATGGGGAAATTAGAAGTTCATTGTCAACAAGCTGTTGTGATATATCGAGGCGGTTTTTACCCAAAGAAGATTCTAATGGTTCTAGAAGATTCTAGAAGATTTAATTTTGGAAAGTATTCTAAAGGAAACGAGGTTGTCTAATGGTTTTTTATAAGCATAGACTATACGCGACTAAGTGGGACTTTAAGATGCGTTCGATGATACATAAGCAAAAACTGTCAAAATTGACGTTAATGACATTTCGTAGGACAAAAGTTTAGAGATGGGAATCGTTTATTGGTATAGAGGTGCAGTAACGACTGTTACAAAATAAGCGTTTTTTTTTCAAATTTCGTTCCCTTGATTGCTCTACTCTATTCCAATATTTTAGGTACTCATTCAGGAATATTAAGAGTAAAGTAGAGGATTAAGAGTAAAGTACGACTCAATAAGCCCAATAATCACTTAGGAAAGGTAAGGTAAATTATTGGTAGAGTAAAACAAATTCTTTACTGAGCACAATATTTATTAGTTAATCAAATATCAAAAAACATTTGAACGCAGAAGGTAAAAATTGAATGAAATCGAATGCAATAATACAAAACCGCTTCCAGATTGAATTTGCGCTCCTACTAAACCTCAAATCGCTGTTTATCTATCTTAGAAAAATCGATTAGTAGGCGGGAAATTCGCACTTTCCAATTCAAGAATATCATTAGAATAAATTTAATAAATCTTTAGCGTTTAGTAAAATTCAAAAGACATTTTTATTTCGAAGAATAAGACGAATTTAGGAGTTAAAATGCTATTTAAGCCGAGCGGAATTGAGTAATCAAGCAAATAAGAAAAACCCGGCTTTAGAATACGAAATTCGAAGATTTCTATAGTCAATAAATTGTTTTGGCACATTTTTGAAACTGCATTAGGAAATTTACCATACAGGGTGGTTCACAGTTACAGGGCAATATTTATAATTCCAAATGGTTAAACTATTACCCTACCCTGTGTTGTGAAAAAGAGAACATTTCAAGCCGGGTCCCGTTTCAAAAAATTCGGTTTAATTAGCCCTAATTATATAAAAAATCTACACTTTTTATGGACGTAAAGCTTTTCACATATAACGAGTTACAAGGCGAAAATTCTCTTAAAATATCTCCTACTATAATATACAGTTGTTTCTCATTTTATTTTACAATTAAAGCTTTACAGCAAAACCCGCTCCCCCTCGAAGGGACAGCGGCGTATTAACTACGTTGATATATAAAAGACTGAAGATCTCAAAAAACATAATTTTTTTTATATATTTTGTTTATCACATCGACGATTTAGGTTTATCGCAGTTTTTGCATTGGACGTATTAAATTATTTTAGAAATGTTTTTTTTAATTTTCGTTCGGGAAATAGGCGTGTGGCACTTTCAAAATTACCAAAAAACATTCTCTCGCTCGTTTATTTTGCAATATCCGATACAATGAAACAATGATTTCCTGATTAAAAATTATGCTAATTAATAAGTTCATTACTCTTTGATAATTTTGAAGCGGTATTTTTGGAATTTTTGTTTGGTGGTCAGAAATATACTTTTGAAAAAAGCTTTAAATGTTGAAAAAATGTAGCAAAAATACAACAATATAAGGGTAATTTTTTGTAATAAACATTTTATAAATAAAGGTAAGTAAGGTTTGATATTAATTCAGGTATGTTAGTGTAGTTTTTCGCCGAAAGTGTGTATAAAATTTAGAGTAGCATAAGATTTTGAGTTATTCAATATTCAATTTAATTTAATTAAAAATTGATGAGTCGGTAGAAAAAATTGTGAATATTTTGAATCAATTGAAGCGATAAAATGTGCTTGAAATTTTATAAATATCGATTCTACAAAAGAATTATGTTGAAAAACATTAAAATTTGCAGGTTTTTAATCATTCGCCAAATGTCTTATGAGGAAAAGACCATTGAACCAGAAATTTAAAAGCAATTCCAGCAAGTTTCACCTATGACCAATTCTCATTCTTTAAAAATTCATGAATTCTAACCCAAAATCTCGAACAAATACTCTCCGATACAACCGTAATATTCTGAAAACGTAAGCAAAGCGTGCCGCAATTAATTACCTATAACTATTCAACTTTTCTGCAGTGTTTTTCGGGAAGTAATTAGTTTCATTTATAATTAAATTTTCAGGGATTCAGCGCTCTATAAATTTAATACAGGTACGTTTTATCGACATTATTTTGTAGCCGTCAAACGGAACGTATTTAATACATATCTTTAATTTAATTTAACTATATATAATATTTTAACAACTCATCCATAACACCCATGGACAAAGACAAAAGTAATAATTATAATACATCAAACAATCAACACCTAGACATGTATATTTCATACAAATGAAAATAGAAAACGGAACTCAAATATTAAATACAGTAAAATGTAAACATAGTTTATACACAGACGCTTAAGCGTATAATCTATACAGGGTGGACAAAAAAAATTGTATTTACACTTACAGGTTCGCTTGTTTGTAGACTCTAATAATTTTCTTGTCCACCTTGTAAGCATTTCCTCCACGAAGGCCTAAATCTCAGTAATTAACAATACCTAAAACGCTATAATTTCGTTCCTATTACTTTGTTTAAATCTCATCAATAAAATACACAACAAACGAACATACAAAAGTAAAAATTTCATTAAACACAACCATATTTGTTTCAATTATACGAATCGTTCCATAAATAAACATTAAACAGTCTTTTTCTGTACGTTACGTGCTAAATTTAGGGCAAATTACGCTGTTGTTGGCAAAACTAGCCCTTATTGTAAAGTAACGTCAAGATTTTATATAAAAAATAATAATTTAACGAGCAATTAAATTCAAAATTACCCATAAGTGACAGCAATTATTTTCGAATCGTTTTAACTACTGCAATATTTCCCTTTTAAGTTGTTTTTTTGAATGAATTATACTTGTACAAAGATTTATCTAAACTATACACTTTATGTAAGAACTAAAGAGATAATAGTTTTAGAGTGAAAAAATACTATTATAACGCGATTTTTTTTATAAATTAACTCTATTTTTTGCTAAAAAATACTTAAGAAGCTCCCTTTCTATGCTCTTCATAAGTCTCTTTAGTTTGTAAATAAAGTTAGTACTTTTAACAAAGTTTTCAAGACTAGCAAAGATAAAGTCAGGATAATGGACCCAACATAGTGAATGTTAAGGTATAAACGGGTATCATCGAGAGAATTAAATCAGTTCAAGCAAAATTATGGTCCCTATAGATATACCTAAACAGTATATTTAACTGTAAAATGTTCTAATCTTGTTAATATGCGAAGACTCAAACTTCCTTTATTTACTCTTTCTCTAATAAACGAGTTGATATATATTCGTTAAAGTATTACAACACTAAAAAATTAGGGAGAATAAGTGCAAGAGGACTTGCTAAATTCTTTACAAATGATGATGATTTTAATCGAATCATCCAAACACCGGGGATTTTTGAAATATCTATAAATTACCAGTAGCAATGTTTGTGATGAATCAATTAAAGTAAATTTACAGCCGATAAATAAAAAAACAAACTTCTTCGTGGCAACTAAAACGAACATGTCGAATAAACGATCAAATGAAATGAATAATACTGACTTATACAAAGAAAATTTCACACCAAAAAATATATATAAATAATATTATTGTCGTATTTTGTTCTAAAAATTAAAAACCACATTCGAAGACTAGAGATTAAGGAATCGCTTTTGAGATAGTTTAATATCACTTTCTGATAACTTCTAAAATAAAGGTTTCTACCTACGGAAGAATCTGAAGAAGCCCTTGCCTTTCTCCGTCGGCGGCGCCATCAGCATGGGCACTTGGTTCTTGTGAGTGATACGTATCTAAAATAAAGAAATTTACATTCATTACTTTTCTCCATGTATAGCCTATCAAAGTAAGAGGCCATCAAAGTGATAGAACAACGAAAATTACTTTTTCTCCATGACTACTCTCTAAAGTGACCAGTAGTCTAATAAAGTAAGAGGGTATCAAAGCGATAGAACAACCAAATTTACTTTAGTTAATTTTTCCCCACGATTACTCTCTAAAGTGGCCAGTAGTCTATTAAAGTAAGAGGATATCATAGCGATAGAACAACCAAGTTTACTTTAGTTACTTTTTCTCCACAATTACTCTCTAAAGTGGCTAATAGTCTATTAAAGTAAGATGCCATCAAAGAGATAGAACAATAAAATTTACATTAATTACTTTTTCTCCACGATTACTCTCCAAAGTGGCCAGTAGTCTATTAAAGTAAGAGTCCATCAACGTGATAGAACGTCGAAATTTACTTTAATTAAATTACTTTCCCTCCAAAACTACACTCTAAAGAGACCAGTAGCCTATCGACGTAAGGGGCCACTTAAGTGACGGAACTTGTCGCTCGAGCTCGCTCAGCGATCGAGACCTCGCGTCTTTACTTACTGTTGTCGGCGGTTGCATCCACGGTTCCCCGTCGATTTGCATCGGAAAAGTCTTTTTAGTTTTGATCAAAACGGACGAGCATTGCGCCAATCTCCTGCCGCTGGCCCTCAGCCCCGTCCTCACCTGGCCCATGTGCAGGCAATTCTCCAAACCTATCACTTCGATTAGGCCGTCACCGATATCTACAAAGAAATACATTTATTTATTAAATTCTAATTCAAATCTTCATTGCATCCTAGAAGAAGCTCTCAGTCAGTACTACGAGAAGATACCCTCATTCTTGCACCAGCAGGAATTACTACTATACATTGATCTAAAATCTAAACCAAGGCTTCTTGTGGTGGCAAATGCAGTATGAAAAATGCACGAATTCCCTCGATTTACCAACCTTGAACGGCGACGCTCAAATCGACGGAATTGAAGCTGCTGGTGCTCAACTCCTTCTGTTTCTTTTTCGACTTTTTCCTCCTGGTGCTGCTCAGGTGCTCGCCCCACAGGTTCGAGCCGCCGTGCGTGTAGGGTATATTGAGCAGGGCGATGCCCTGCAGGGGCGGCCCGTTGGCCAGGTCGAGGCTCTGATCGTCGCACTGGAAATATAATCGTTATTTGATTGATTTATCGCTTCTTTTGACGGTTAACTAGCAGAAACACTCACGCTTATTTCGATGTTTTCGTGCAGGTTCTTGCAGGACGCCGAGAACTGCTCGGAGGTGGCGTATTCGAAGTACCACAGCTTGTTTTTCATGCGGCTGTTGAATTTCTCCGGGTTCTTTTCCCTCTCCAGGTGGAATTTTACGCAAATCGCTGCATCCTGAAAATGTGTTATAACAATATTAATAACATACACTGTTGGAAATTTAATTTCGCATAATAGGGAAATCAATGTTAAATTCTTAGCCGGCTAAAATCCAGTCTACCAGTATACATTTCAATAGAACGTCGCGATGAATTCTAATAAATTTAATTGTTCTACTGGATCGCACGCCGCGATTTGTAGAGGTACAAAGTTATTTGTATTAGGTATGAGGTACAAAATTATTTAGAAACTACAATTAATAGGTTTTTTGGGGATATTTCAAAAAAATGTGTGTATCGGGAGGTACAGTTTTGAAATAGCAACAAATCTTGTTAAAATAAGGAAAAATAAGGAAAAAAATAATTCAATTTTCTGCTAAAATTACACCTCAGCTCAGTAATATGAGATGACATCTGTATGACAGGTTTACCTCTATAGTTTAGCAGAAAGCGGTGGACTATTTTTTAGAGTTCTTTTATTTTCTGTTTTAAAATAATCTTTAAGTTTATTTTTGGAGTTTTCTTTTTATTATTTTCTTAGAATTTACTTTCTTTTTCAAGCCATTGTGGCAAAAATACATATCTACATAATTCTATTTTATTATTAGTGATATTTTTTCAATAAATTATCGTTTAAAAATTCTCATTTCTTTTTAATCGACTCGACGTTCACCCATCCGAACCCGTTTTGATACTGTCGAAGTGTCGAAACCGTCGAAATTATTTGATTTTTAATCTAACCAAGCCAAAGCGCGGTGTGAAGTCCAGTAGAACAATTAAATTTATTAGAATTTATCGCGACGTTCTATTGAAATGTACACTGGTAGATTGGATTTCAGCCGGCTAAGAATTTAACATTGATTTCCCTATTATGCGCGAATAATTTTCCAACGTTGTATAAGTTGTTGATAATGTAGCATGAAATTTAGTAGAGTCTTGGAATGAAGGATTGATGAATTGGTAAGTAATTAGAACCTTGTTATAGGTATAACTTGGGAAGACTTATACATAAAGATACTTACGACTCCTATGGAAAAATAATTGTTAATAATATTGTACGGTATCCTGGTGTCTGGAATCTTCTGGTCGGGATCAGGGGGAGATGTATCGTACAAATCAATCATCCATCTATCGACCATCACCGTGGACGCCCTGGCGATTTTGTGCAATATTTTGTGTATGGATTCGCCTTCGTAACCGCCGCCCCATCGGAGGCATCTCGCCAGATCGTTCCCCGTTCCTAAAGGGATCACCGCTATGGCTGGCTGACAATCCAATTCCACTTTATCTATAAACCAAATCATCGATTAATGGACTGAGAAAGTTAGATAGAAGAGTGTCATCTAGCTGCAGGTTGTCTTCAACTAGCTACCAGAAACTAGCTTTAACCGTGATCTATGATTTGTCTTGAAGTAGCTTCTAGAATCTATTTTCAACTTTGAACTTTGCTTTGTCTTTAACTAGTTTCTAGAACCTAGTTTTAACATTGATCTTTAGTCTGTCTGTCTTCAACTAACTTTTAAAATCTAGGTTTAACGTTGGACTTTGCTCTGTCTTTAATTTGCTTCTAGAACTTATTTTCATATTTGATCATTGTTCTGTCTTCAACTAGCTTCTAGATTCTAGTTTTTACATTGATCTTTGCTCTGTCTGTCTTCAACTTCTAGAATCTAGTTCCAACTTTGATTTCTGTTCTCCCTGTCCTCAACTAGATTCTAGAATCTATTTTCAACTTTGAACTTTGTTCTGTCTTCAACTAGCTTCTAGAATCTAGTTTTTACATTGATCTTTGCTCTGTCTGTCTTCAACTAGCTTCCAAAATATATTTTCAACTTTGAACTTTGTTCTGTCTTCAACTAGTTTCTAGAACCTAGTTTTAACAATGATCTTTGCTTTGTCTGTCTTCAACTAGCTTTTAGAGCATAGTTTTAACATTGATCTTTGCTCTGCCTATCCTCAAATAGCTTCCAGAATCTAGGTTCAACTTTGATCTTTTTACTGTCTTGAACTAGCTCCTAGAACCTAGTTTTAACTATAATCCCTGATATATATGATCGTTGCTCTGCCTGTTCTCGACTAGCTTCCAGAATCTAGATTCAACTTTGAGCTTTGCTCTGTCTTCAACTAGCTTCTAGAACATAGTTTCAACTCTGATCTTTGCTCTGCCTTCGACCAGCTTCCAGAACCTAGCTTCAACTCTAACCTAAATAGAGACTAACCCATGGTTTCCAAGACCCATCCGACGGTCCCGTCGCCGCCGCAGCACACCACCTTGAAGTTGGGCACGTCCTTGAACATGCTGAGCCCCGCCATGGGGCTGTTGCTGCTGCCCAGGATGTGCACTTGCCGCGGATTCAGGATGTACTGGAACTTCCTGAGTATCCTGGAGCCCTGCCGGCCGCCCGACTTCGGGTTGATGAACACCAACAGCGGCACCGAAGCCGGCGACGTGGTTATTTGAAACGACATGGCCGGCTGTTTGTTAGTGCCCGATACGGAACCCTGCGAAAACGAAATACTGTTTAGCGAATCTAAAAAAGAATCGTTGGTAATAAATTATGGAGTGAGTATTGGAAAGTGTCAGTTGTTAATGTGGAAATGGAAATGGAAGTCGCGTTGAAAAGGGGAATCGAATAATTGTTTTGTTCCATCGGAGTCAGGGATTGACGAGGCGTTTAATAATTGATAAAATAGCGCCGTGAAACGCTGGAAAAAAATGTAGGAAAAATCGAAGTGGAGACTTACATTATCGTTGCCGTATTTGGAGCCCCTTTTTTGCACCGACCTCTGTCTATCTAAGACGATGGGGCAGATGGAGACCGGTGGTAGAATGTGGACGGCGTGTTCGCCCAGTCCGCATTCCGCTTTCACTTGAGACACGCATTTGTTGTGCAACTATAAATAAATCCATCATAACCTATATTATTCCTCGCGCGCTCTCTTTGCGCCCGCCGTTTATTTATAAAAGTCGCGTTACGGATTTAGCCGGGCTTTCATATTTTTATCAATATCCACCTGCCAATATCTAATTGGAAATATTTACGCAATTCGATTAGAAATTAACGGCTCGCGTTTAAACACGCCGTAAAATTGATTGGTTTTTTTGTTAATTAATAGTTTGTACTGTTTATTTTTAATTGTTAGATTGTAACGTAAGATTTCGGTAAATTTTATGGGGTTTTTTTTTAATTAGATTCCGTAACGATTCTTTTTTAATTTTGTTTTATGAAAATTTTGCCCATTTTATTAAAAATCTCAGGGTAAAATTCCACCCCTAAACCCCCGAAAAATATTATTAAACTTGGAATTTGACGGTAGCGATGGTAATAGTATTTCTGTTTTAAAATTTGTTTTCAAATTTCTAAGCATATTTTTTTTTCCACTGTATAACACTGCAACATATGCACGAAAAAACTGTCAACTGTCAACAATTGAACAACTGTCAACGATTGAATTTTTTCTTTGCAGGTAAATAAATCCCTATACATTTGGCAACATTGCCAGCCTGTAAGTGGCTGGACTCCGGCGCTGACTTTAAATATTATTTTTCTTTTGAATGCCCTTTTCTCCGAAACGAGTGATTAGTTATGGAAATTATGGTTTTCTCAGAAAATTATACACCATTTCTATATACAACTTGCTCCATTTCCGATTGCAATATGGTCATTTCTATGAGTGGAACAAAGAAAGTTTATTAAAATGACAGTTGTCAGAGTGAAAAGTAATGACACAAATGTCATTCTTTCTTTTTCCTTTGTAAGTGTCTAATAGTTGTCTTTATCGCACCCATGGCCTATGTTACCTATGCAATCAAAAATGGAGCAACCTGTAATCAAAATTACCATTTTAATTCGATTACGAAAGCTAATTGCGAAACTTACAAACATTCAAGTATTGCCCGATCTATTTAGGTTGTTATTGTGATTCACGATTTTAACACTATGAGGTAACTTGCAGTTAAATTTTACGTCATCTCTTACGTCACAAAATAATTACACAGGCTTATACGATATTGATCAATCCCATTAATACTCTAACAACCTTTCAAGCGATTAAAATATACAGGGTGTCCCGCAGAAGAACCCACACAGATCAGAGACGTGTAGTGTTAAGTTTAGTCTATTTTAGGCTCCCCTACACGCTCCTGATCCATGTCGGTTCTTATGCAGGACATCCTGTATAGAAATACTAACCGTTATTTGGCACCATCTACAATGCAACCCGGTAATGCCGGCTTTAACGGGTTTCCTGCATCTCGCGCACTTTCCGTGACAATTCCCTTCCACCCAATGGTGTTGCAAAGTTTGACAGGACTTTTTGCTCTTCACGTAGGTGGCTATGCAACTGGCCGGGGCTCTACCGACGCATCTTTCGTGCACCGTGTACTTGCAAACTAAAAACACCACGATTTATTGAAGCTTAACGGGAAAAACGCGGTGAAATTTTTAGTCTTACAAACGCAACTGAGCCCTTTCTTCCCCAAGCCGACCAGCATGTTCAAGCACAGATTGCAGTAGGCCGGCCGGCTGAAGTGCTTCAATCGCCACAGGTGATTGCCGTCCTCTTTAACGTTGGAATCCAGCCCGAGGAGGACCAGTAGAGGGATGGTGGTCAGACCGCCGCGTTTCCATTCCTCCAACGAGACCGTACCGTCGGCGTCGTAGTCTATTTCGACCATCATGTCTTGAAGAATCTGCAAAAAAATTGCAATTTATTGAAAACGGGAAGCTCACTAGCTTTGAGGGATAATATAGAGCAAGCTGGGGTAGTGACTAAAGAAATGGAAAGACTAGGAGTACTTTAATAGATGCCTAACACGGATCTGGGAGGTTTCTGACAGGCATTCTGACAGGTTTTCAGGGAACTCAAAAGGAAGCTTCAATCCCATTCTAGCTCAATATGAAACTTGCAAGAATCCATGGTAGCAATACTTTGAAATATGTGTGCAAGAAGAGGAAGATATGTAATTTCCAGCTGATTCTACACAACATCAAACAAGTCATTAATTGTATTATTGTTGATGTAGTAAGAAAAGAGGGATATTTTTAGAACTAGCTGTTGTAGTAATTGAAGAAATGAAAATCTAAATTCGAAAGTCTAAATTTTGAAGGAATGAACAAGTACTGAAATAGGCTAAGAGATTTATTAAAAGGGTTTATGAGTGATATTGAAAGCTAAAAAGGTACTTCAACAAACTTTAATTCTTATTCTAGCTAAATGTGAAGCTTTCCAGAGCCCAAAGTAACAACAATGAAAGCTCACTAGCTTTGATAAATGAGATTAAAGCAAGCTATTGTACTAACTAAAGAAATGGAAAATCTAGGAGTACTGAAATAGGTTGAAATAGAACTCTGAAAGACATCATTGGGAGGTTCCTGACAGGCTTTTAGGGCTTTAAAAAGATTATTCAATAAGGGTCAATTCTAGCTGAAAATGAAACATTCCAGAACCCAAAATAACAATATTGGAAGCTCACTAGCTTTGATAAATGAGATTAGAGCAAGCTAATGTACTAACTAAAGAACTGGAAAATGTAGAAGTACTGAAATAGGCTGTAATAGGACGCTGAAAAGCATTTCTGGGAGGTTTCTGACAGGCTTGTAGGGCTCTAAAAAGATTCTTCAATAAGCTTCAATTCTAGATAGCTGTGAAGCATTCCAGAACAAAAAGTACCTAATAAAACTTAGAAAAATGACTAAAAGAAGAAGAAGAAGAAGAATGCAGCTTCAAAGATCCCTCCCAACCACGGCCCTATATTTCTAAGGTCTTGAAACTCCCTATGCTTATGCATTAGAGAATGTATCCGGTTATTTGAAAACTTTTTGAGCTTCACTTTTGCGCCGCACCGTGGCGAACGATCGGAGGACCAACTTATCTCAGCCAATCAGCGTCGCGCTACATATAAATCGCGGTTGTGTGAAATGACAGTTCGAGCTGTCAAAACTTCAAAAATTATTATTTGACATTTCGAGGAGAAAATGGAGAAAAACATTAACCGAAGATATGTGAGGCATGATGTTAACAACAAAATCATCACTGATTTAAGTATAGTTTTATGTTTTGTATCTATTTTTTGTTTGTGTATAACCTTTCTTAATGCTAATTCTATACAGTGCATTTCTTTAATGTCCCCCCCCCTTTTATTTTTTGAACGGATCAACTTAGAAAATTGAAATTTGGGATAATGAAACTAATGCATGATTACTATATTTTGGAGTAAAATTGACAGATGAAAATTTCAAGATGGCGACTGGGCGCCATCTTGGGAAATAAATTTAAATGGAAAGGGGTGTCTTGTGATACATCATTTTGAAGCTCCTGACAAATACTCTACAACCCTGAAATATAAAGTCAATATCTGCACCTGTTACAAAATGGCGGAACATTTAATAATTGCCTGAATACAAACAAAATAATATCAATTTTTCTAGAAATATTTGTTTTTCTATGGCAAACAGCAATCCCAGCAAACCGATAAGGTTTGACAGGTTATTTTTGGTTAAAAAAATTCCAAAAAATTTAAGTACGACAACGAACATTAATTGTTTAGTCAAAATATGGTCATTTAGTTTTTGGTTTTCCTAGTGTTCAAAATATTCTCTTTAGTTTTCGATTTTCCTAGTGTTCAAAGTATTTTCATTTGGTGTTCGGTTGTTTAGTTCTCATTGCAGTTAGGTAGCACGTCAACTAACTCTAAAATGGCCAATTCTCGTCCATTGGAAGATGGAGCACCACCACATTACTCCAGACAAGTAATGAACTATTTGGATGCTATTTTCCATGGTCGTTGGATCGTTGGATTGGTCGTCGAGGTCCTACGGAATGGATTTGACCAGAATTTGACCAGATTTGACACCTTTAGACTTTTTTTTATGGGGCTATTTGAAGCAAAATGTGTACGAAACTAAACCTGCTTCAATATTGGATATACGAGAAATAATTACAGATATTTGTAAAAATATCGACGTTACTATGTTCGAAAATGTTCGGATAGGCTGTTCTTGTATCAAAAAGTTCAAGGCAACCATTTCGAGCTTTTTTTGAACAGAACTCAGCTTATTTCCTCAAATTATGACGTTAAACGTCGATTTATTCAGGTAATTATTAAATGTCCGCCATTTTGTAGCAGGTGCAGATATTGACTTTATATTCCAGGGTTGTAGAGTATTTGTCAAGAGCTTCAAAATGATGTATCACAAGACCCCCCTTTCCATTTAAATTTATTTTCCAAGATGGCGCCCAGTCGCCATCTTGAAATTTTCGTCTGTCAATTTTACTCCAAAATATAGTAATCATGCATTAGTTTCATTATCCCAAATTTCGATTTTCTAAGTTGATCCGTTCAAAAAATAAAAGGGGGGGGGGACATTAAAGAAATGCACTGTATAATTCGTACGCAAAAAACCGTGGTCCTACACAACATCGCCTCCCTAGCGGCCGTTTTAGGAACCATGTTTTATCCTCAAATAACGGGACACTTTTTCGACCTATGTTTCCAGACCTTAGAAATATAGGACCGTGCTCCAAACTAATTAACAATAATTATAATTCTACATAATCCTGTTGATTAATGTTTTGTAGAAACGTACCGGTTTCAATTCCGAGACGTCCCAGCCCAAGTACTCGGCCACCGTCATCATCTGGTTGACGATGCAGTCCATTTCGTTGGTGTCGAGCACCCCGTCGCCGTTGGTGTCGTACAAACGAAACATAACTGCGAAATAAAAAAAACGTCAGATGAAAAACGACGCGGAAACGAGCCAACACTCACATTCCAATTTGTCTTCGGGTCGACCGGCCTCGAGCAGGGACAGGTAACAAACGATGTCTTTCAAAGATACCTTCACTTGGTTCACGTCCAGCATGCTGGCCTTTCTTACGATATGTCTCATTTCTGGAAGCCAAGCAATGTTGCCGTTTACTACCTAATTTGTATAAAGCTTCTGATTGCGTACCTTCTAATTTTCCGTTGTTGTTCACCAAGAGGGAATTGCTGGATTTCTTGGAGGAATTCCTGGATATTTGGCTGTGCGACGGCGACGAATCCGTGCTCTTCTTGCCGAGCACCTCGTGACAGGAGTAGGAATTGTGAGTGACCGTCAACATGGGATGGACGGTCCCTGGAAAACGATCGAAATTCGCTCGTTCGAATGGGAATAAAGTGGATTTTTTACCTGTTTTTCCCCTGGTGGAGCAATCGCTGTCGGACCTGTGATGGCCCAGGAGCTTCTCGCCGATTCCGTGTATTTTCTCCACGAGTATCTCGCCGTAAGTGGCGGGCTTCTCCTCGTGCCTCTCCCCGATGGAATTAACGTTCGGGGTGGAACCTGAAAAAAACAACCGAATCCATTTGAAAAATTACCAAATCTCTACCAACATTCTCTCTTCTAATATTCAAAAACAAATCTCCAGTGAGGACCCATGAGATAATACAATCAATCAGCCAGTCGATGACCTCGGCAGCTTTATTATCCAGCGAATCACTTCGCTTAATTAAAACATCAAACCGAAAAGCCGGTTTCCTTGCATTTTAAACGAAACCCCGTCCGGGATGGCCCGATCGCTTTCCGGGCCATTAAATCGCGCTATGATACATTCTACTAGCGCAAATTAACGAATTAATTTCCGGCTTCCGTACGACCGGAGTCGCCTGAAATGCACGATCCGACGATAAAATAAATACAAACACACAATGCATCCCCGGAACCCCCTAAAATAACGCTACAATCGAGTTAACAAAGTAAACAAGTGTAATTTAATTTGCACACGGCCGGTGGAAAGGGAGCGATCCGATTAGACGGATCGTTTCGCCAAAACGAATCGGCCGGGAATGATTCAGTCGAAATCAAAGTTGGGTTAATAAAAAAGATATGGAATTAAAGTGTAATGAAGATATACTGTGGGTGACGATTGGGTTTTTTCGAGGTCTGTAAAATTCGTTGTAGATCGGCTAGAGGCGTGAAATTTTCAGCTGGGATAGCCTAATGTCTTGTCTTGAAGTTTGCTAAGTAATATCTTCTCCAATGAACTACAAGGGATTTAATCGTTCCTTCGAATGAGGTGGTGTACAACAAAAAAAATTGAGGAAAATTCGATCTCTTTTGGGATGTAACATACAAAAAATGGGATGTAAAAACACCTAGTAATAGGGAAGGATGCCTGAAATGATGGAATTTGAAGATTAACATCTTCACCTAGATTCACCAAGTCTGACCAAATCTTTATTCCTATGGAGGATGTTGTGGTAGGGGATTATTAAGTGCAGATTGGACAGATGTCAGGAAGGATTTAGAGGGTATTTAGAACTACATTCTCATGTTTCTAAGCATCGTACTTCCAACGTGAGTACCACATAAATCAATAACTTAACTATGAACCAACTTTAACGATGAAATTCTCTCAAAACTCCTTTCAAAAACATCCATAAACTTCCATAAATCTCCCTAATAGCCGCAATCAAATCAATTAGCATCGCGCTCGACACGAATCGCTCTCGCGTCCTATTTATTAGCGCTCAGTTTATTTACAATACAAAATAAGTCGCTAGGTAAACGAAACGCGATTTCCGCCATTTCCGCGCGAATTATTCCGCGAAAATTCGCCGAGCGATCGATGCGCGATATTTTCCCGATGGCTCTTTCGTGGAAATTTTATTTATCGAAGCGAATTCGCGAACAGGGAAATCGCTCTGTTTGAAAATTCCCCGCGACGGGACTTTGGCTGGGCGAAAACTCGCAATCCGGATTTTCGTTGTGTTTCGCCCGGAACGCGAGGCGACGCTTATGCGGCAATTGATGAATAAAATATTTAAACGAAAGTCCGCACCGGGTTCGGCGTAAGAGGATCGGACCCGGCCGATACAATGCGGGGATTCTTTGAATACAGGCGTTTCTATCGATGGGCTCGGATTCAAAAAGGGACTTTAGAGATGTGTATTATTTGCGATTCTAAAAGTTTTGAATGTACGGAAATACGAAACGAGACAAAGGCACAAAGAATAGTAAAAAATGTTAATATTGGTGGAATATTGTAATCCATTCTCTATCAGAAGATAGTAAAAATAGCAGTGGTAAATTGGGCGAAGAATATTACAGGTAGAAAAGGGGATTATTTGAGTTTATTGCAAAGTATTGAATAGAATATAGTAGATAGTAGAGGGTAAAGTAGCTTCAGAGTAGAGTAGATTTAGAGTATAGATTAGATTCAGTGTAGAGCTGATCCAGTGTAGAGTAGATTCAGAGTAGAGTAGATTCAAATTATAGTAAATTCAGAGTTGAGTAGATTCAGAAAAGAGTAGATTTAGTGTACAGCAGATTCAGAGTAGAGTAAATTCAGAGTTGATTAGATTCAGAGTAGAGTAGATTCAGAGTTGATTAGATTTAGAGTTGAGTAGATTCAGTGTAGTAGATTCAGAGTAGAGTTGATTTAGAGTAGAGTAGATTCAGAAAGGGGTACATTTAGAGTACAGCAGATTTAGTTGATTCAGATGTAGAGTAGATGCAGAGTAGAGTAGATTCGCAGTGTAGTAGATTCAGAGTAGAGTCGATTCATAGTAGAGTCGATTCATAGTAGAGTAGCTTCAGAGTATAGAGTAGATTCAGAGTATAGAGTAGATTCAGTGTAGAGTTGATTCAGTGTAGAGTTGATTCAGTGTAGGGTAGATTTAGAGCAGAGTAGATTCAGAGTACAGTAGATTCAGAAAAGAGAAGATTTAGAGTACAGCAGATTCAGAGTAGAGTAGATTCAGAGTTGATTAGATTCAGAGTAGATTAGATTTAGAGTTGAGTAGATTCAGTTTAGAGTTGATTCAGATGTAGAGTAGATTCAAAGTAGAGTAAATTCAGAGTATAGAGTATATTCAAAGTATTATCCAAATCGAATCAAAGATTTATTTGTGTAAAATTTAGTAAAAACCAGTTAGTTACAACAGTAAATAAGAGTAAATAATAATTAAAAAAATATAAATATTAAGACAGTAAAAAAATAATTGCTGAATTTCAAAAAAAATCCAATCTCTTCTTTCATTAGACAAAAAACATTAATAAATTATTTTAAAAATTAATCTCTAATTAATTTCCAACCCATTTTTTAGATCAATTTAAAGAGCCTCTATAGAACCATTTCCAAGAGCATAAAATAAGTCGATACGTAATTAACGAAAAAAAAACCCTATTATATCATCTGCTACTCGGTTAATTAATCAGTAATATTCCAATAGACATCGGTCAATAATATCCGTGAATCATCCGATCAATCAGTAGAGTTAATTTTAAAACCCGCGGATATTTATACGGACGGTAATGATATTCAAGAGGCTCGGAGAAATGTACAAATCCCGAATCAACGGGCGCGATTACGACGAAATCTCCCGTCAACCGGCCCTAATCCGATTAGAGCGGCGATTATAAAATTCGCGAAATTTTTCATCCGATCTCCGCGACGGAGAGCGTCCCGACGCGCCCGTTGTTCTCTTTTCTCTAATGCTACGCATCCGTCGTCGGCGAATAACGCTCAAAAATTGACGAGATAATTTCCAGACTACAAGAAAAGAGCATTTCCTGCGATCCAATTTCCAGAGCGTCCCCCGGGGCCGCTGCGACCGTTAGCGAAAAACGGGAAAATATTTATATTGCGCGAAAGCGGAACGCTTCCGAAAATTCGGGGCATCATTAAAAATCGCCCAGCGGGCCGGGGCCTGCCGACGAATTTCGCCCTCTAAGCGCCCTTAATAATTCACTTTGAGTTTGTAGCTGGCGCGGGATTGTTCATCGTAAATTCATAATCGACCATTATTTTTATACTTTCCAAAGTACTTACGGAAATTGTTTCATATTATAAAAAAGTCGTTCTATAAGGGAGGTGCAAAAAATTATAAATCTGCAATTAATGGAGACATTTTAGAGAAATTAGTAGATTTTTACATGAATAATAGTCTTTGAAAAATGATCTAAATGATCCTAAAAGCGTTCTAAACGGTCATGAAATTTTATAAATTAACCTGGACGATTCTAAATATGTAATAAATCTGTAATTAATGGAGACATGGAGATATTTTAGAAAAATTAGTAGATTTTTAGATGAATAATAGTCTTTTAAAAATGATCTAAATTATCCTAAAAGCGTTCTAAACGGTTCTGAAATTTTATAAATTAACCTGGTCGATTCCAAATATGTACATACCTCTGAATTCGTTCCAAATTATTTTGGTTAGTTCTAAATGGTTCCAAGATCGTTCTGATCTTTTTCAAACAGTACTAACTAATTCTGTAATGGTACTAAATAATTCTGGATAGTTGATGATTTTGGCTAGTTCTAAATTGTTCCAAGATCATCCTAATCTTTTTCAAAAGAACTAGCCAATTATATAATGGTTCTAAATGATTGTGGATAGTTCTAAATGGTTCTAGTTAATTTTAAACGTTGTTGGACAATCCCTTAAATGATTTTGGACCATTCTAAATTGTTCCAAGATCGTATTGACCTGTTTCTCAAATGGTTCTAAATAATAAATAAATAATTCTATAATGGTTCTAAATAGGTTCTTCTAGACAGGTCTACATGATTTTGGACAGTTATAAATGGTTTCAAGATCGTTCTGACCTGTTTCAAACGGTCCTAGTCAATTCTACAATGGTTCAAAATGAGTCTGAATTGTTCCAGATAGTTCTAAATTCGTCCTGAACACAATCTCTCTTCCCCTTCTAGCGATATTACAATGATTAAATACACCTTGCTTCTAGCACTTTGTGTTATTTAATTCAACGTTAACCCTCTGCATCTACATGTTTACATTTAAAATAGTCCGATAGGTATATTTCAGCGCGTAGGAAGGTGCATCATGGAAAATATCGAATTAACATGGAAACGCGATGATGTTTGGAAAGCTCCCACAAACAATAACGCGCGTTGTAGATGCATATATGTAACAATGCAACTAATACGCCGCGTGCGTATTTATTATTCAAAGACCGTCATGATGCAACCCAACAACAGGGCTGATTGGATATGATAGTGTGTATAAATACATGCAGTCGAGACGCGGAATTGCATTCGATTCCCGTTTTATATATCGAGTGGGACGTTGTAAATGTCAAATTTGATTACAGCTTTATTAGATGTTATTGCAACGTGACCGGCAAATTAGAGAGTTCGTAATATACTCGTGTTTTTATATCAGTATAATCGAATTTATTAGCGTCTGTAGTTATTTTTCTTTTAATTATTCACAACGAAAAATGCGTTAGTGCCAAACGTTAGAAATGTGTTAGTAAAGCCGAGCGAAACGAGCGCCAGTTGGGTTCGCAAAGTCCGAGGCGCCCGTTTCGCCGGCGCGAAGCCACACCTTTGTTATGCGAGGTGACCGGCGCGCATGCGGTCGTCGAGCTCATGACGGTCATCTCCTTGAAGGCTTTACCTTCGACTTTGACGCCTCCCCGCCTGACGAACGACAGGAAGAGGTGTCTGCACAGCTCCTCCGGCGTCCTGACCTCCAGGAACGTGTCCAGGAACTTGTGGAAGCCTTCATAGTCGATGTCCTGCGAACAAAACCATCCGTTAATAGTCCATATTTATAAAAATGAAGCATTTACTTTGATGTAAAAGGTAGAGGCAAAAGATAAGAGAAAAAGGTTTTAAAACCACAAAACTATTTGCTTTAAAGCAACAGCAGGGTCCTCTCGAAGCAAAATTTCTTCATTCGCACTTCTTTTTATGCATATACCTTGAAGCAATTCCTTCATTTTTTGAAGTAAAAGGATGTGCTTCTTTTTATAAGTATGGCCTATTGTGTTGAAATTAGACATTTCAAGTATTCATCAGTACCACATAAATATGCTGGAAGGATGGAAAAGAAAGGTACTAAGATTTTTTGGTCAATAAAAGAAGAATAAAGAATGTTGATAGAGCAGATTCATCCAAGAAATTAGGGACCTGTATAATGAAACCAGTATAATCAGTATAATTGGTGAAATATAACCAATGAAACCAGTATAATCAGTATAATTGGTGAAATATAACCACTGAAACCAGTATAATCAGTATAACCAGTGAAGTATAATCAAAGAAACCAATATAATCAGTATAACCGGTGAAGTATAACCAATGAAACCAATATAATCAGTATAACCGGTAAAGTATAACCAGTGAAGTATAACCAGTGAAACCAGCAAAATCGAATTTGTCCTAACTCGATAATTGAGATGGATAGAACACATCTCAGAGAATGCCAAGAATCAGGATTCTTAAAAAAGTTTTAAACAAGAGAGTATGTAGGAGGAAAAAAGAAGCGAGGAAGACCGAATGAGAGATGGAAGAGGACGGTGGAACATGATTTTCATGAGATTTGATGGAAAGGTTATTATTAAAACCAAGCCATGTACCGATCTAGCCCTGTAGAGCTAAAAATATTTTAAAAGTTTTCAAATTCAAGTTTAAGAGTTTTCTCTACCAAAGGGTGTTTAAAGGGACATTCCCCTTTACCAAATACCAATGCAAAATTTCATCTACAAATTTCGAAACGAACGAGAAAAGTTAAACGAAAAACGTGCACAAACACAACAAACGACGTACTACACAAACGTTTTCCTTTTATCAAAAATTAGATCCCGCATGTATATCCTCGTTTATATTCGCGCGAAAATTCGGTGCATTTCCGTCGGCGGGGTTTTCGTTCCATCATCGTCTCTACGACGTTCCGCATCGACACTCAGTCGTCCGTTTAACTCGCGGAAATTCCGAAATGCATTTCATTAAGAGGAGCGCGCGATTTCCTCCGGAGATCCCGACATTCTCCGGGTGGAATTGCCGAAGTGCAATCTCGCTCGACAGACAAATTTCCCGGCACAAAAATAAACCCCGCAATGAAATTCGCGGTGTTCGCTTCGTAAAACTCGAGCGGTAATTATTCGAAGGCCCCCGTAGACTTATTAACTCGATAGCGGTGTTGCCGTATCTAGGGAAATTTTCAATAAATTGGGTACTTAACGATTGTATGTACGTAGCGTATTAACGCGTTGTCCTCCCGTAATTTGTGTCATATTGTCGTACATAACGATCCCGATTGTCAAGGTAGGAGCCGGCGAAATTTCCAATTAAGTCCCGAATCGAATTAATAATCTCGAACAATCCCATTTCCCGCTCTAATCTCGGAGAGGCATCGCTCGTTATCGCCCGGTTCTTTCGAGCGACAGGAAACCTACCCCCCCGTTTTCCGGACGGAAAACTCTAACTCCCCGAACGTCATTAAGTCACTTCCATTCGACTTGTTTATCGGAAAGCGAATGCCGACAGAGTTTCCCGCAATCGATATGACGGGTCTCGGGGGGCCCAAATGACGTCACATGCGGGCTGGAGCCCCCCGGGGGCAGGGGCGGCGGGGTCGAGGGGGCGCATGTAGGTCACCGGCGGTGACGTCAAAGGCAGTGGCGCGAAACGAGGGCCGGGAAATTCGCGTGTTGTTGAATGGGGATTTGTTGAATGGGGGTTTTGAATGAGTTGAATGGGGTGGTTTTTTTTTAGATTGTGAAATATTGTTTGATAAATGTGAGTAAATGTGTGGAATGTACTAGGTTTTCTATGACAGGTAGTAAATTTTAATTTAATATAGTACTCATCTATAGTGTGGTTCATAAGAATATTTTAACCATACATCTTTGACCTAACATTAATTTGCTTTAAATTTTTAGGCATTAAGTTTTAAAAACAAAATAATTTTTGGTATTTCCATATTTCTTTCTCCATCTATTTCATATTTTCTACACATTTTGGGTCATATTGTGCAACATAAGAACACACTGTATTACAGTAGACGAGTAGACTATACTTCAAATTTTATTACCTTAATCCTTAATCGAAATCGTGGAGATTTATTTTATTGTTTTTTTTTCGAAAATATCAAATCCGGAATCGCTCTCGAATATTATTCCATCCGGCTACTTCCTTTTCCAACTTTCAAAGTATATTCTATTTTCGAACGAATAAGTATACCGATATCACGTTCCTTGATATTTTCACAATCTCATTTCCTCCTTCCTTTCGGAATATCGCACATAAAACGCTAAATTCAATCGAAACGTACGGCTTTCCATGGAAAATTGTATGTGCATGCTCGAAAACAATGTCGCCCGCATATCCGGATTGCCGCCTTATCGAATAATAGATATCGAAAAACTCGGAATTTTCCGAAAAGTAAATTAACGTGTCGAAAATGACGGAGCGCTCCTCGTACATCAAACTGCCGTTCTGTTTGCGATAACCGAGGGAAGTGTCAATTAAACTTTGTAAAAGTCCAAATGGAAGTTCGGATATTTTTTCCGCCTCTTCGACGGGAAAAATTTAATTTAAAATCCGCCGGAACGGGAATGTAACAATTTGCGCGAACCGCGCAGAATAAATAATCAGATTCGGATTGTTCTAATGACTTCGAAATTGATGGGCTTGTTTCGTTTATTTTCGCGGGGGAACCGGCAAGTGGTTGAACGGGAGATTTCGAGATCAAAGCGAATATTGTTAATGCCTAATGCCTCTTTTCGGATGTTATCTCATAAAATCCTTTAATAAATTCTCGTACATTTTAAGAATAATATTTGAATAAAAACTATATAGAAAATTATTTCAAATCTTTAAAAAACTAGAAAGCACATATAGGGTGAGTGAAAATTGTGAGAACGATAATGGTTAAAAAAAAGATTTTATTTTAAATGCCATGACTCATGCATCCAAAGGAGAGCCATTTATGCATTTAAAAAGAGGCAATAAACTGCCTAAATGAGTCATTTATCTACCCAAGAGTCATTTGGACATATAAGAGAACTACTGATCTATCAAGACATCAAATCATGAATTCAAGAGAGTTAATTATAAATCCAGAATAGCCAATTCACTCGTTAAAAAAATTCAAGTAACTACCTCAAAGATTCATTTAAATATCTTAAAGAATGACTCTGAACTCTGAATCTCTGAACAGCAACTAACGAACTCAAGAGAGTCACTGCCTAAAAAAGCCAATTAACTACCTTCGCAAGAATCATTTAAATATCGCAGATAATAATTTATTCCTTAGGAGAGCTAATTAAAAATTAAAAGGAGTTATTTTTACATTCAAAAGAGCCAATTAACTGCCTAAAAAAGTCAATTATCTAATTCCAAAAATCATTTTAATATTCAACAGATTGTATGAATCCAAGGATATAATTTATGCATCTTTAAGGAAGTCAAAACATTTACATTGGAACGCTTTATTTTCTTAATAAACTCACTAAATCGATAATTACGTATGAATATTCAACTAAACTGTAATGAAAGCATAAGGGAGATTAGGTACTCGATATATGTCTAACAAATATGTACCTATTTTTTATCAATTTTTGTACCTCATACAAAGCATCCTGTTTCAGCATCCTGACAAAACAACATTTATCTCGAATTTCCTATACTAATTTGCGCCTTAACAAACCAGCTATCAATTCCAATACCAATTCCATTGTATCCACGCGCGCTCAATTCGAACGCTTCGCCCCTGGAACATTCGACCGGTAACAATCAGATATAGATAAATCGGAAAATATCCATCGGAATATAGATAGATACCGTTCGTTTTTCGAATTCAATTACGGTTTTCCCGGTCGCATTTTCCCCGCATTTAACGCTCGTGCGAATGTCGTTGCTCTTTCCCTCTTCAAAAACTATTTCCGTCTCCGCATTGACGTCACCTACACCGGCGTGACGTCACCTCGCCGGAGCTGAACGGTGTTTGTGTAAAAGGCCGAGGTTGTGCGGCCACATCGAGAGGAATTAGCCTTCTCGTTACGCCGATATTAAAATTAGATGGCCGATAATTTGGCGTGTGAAATAACAATCGTTAAATTTTATGGTCTTTGCGCGTTTGTGCATACAGGACGATTGGGAATTTATGCGTCAATTTTTTTTTGGATAGTTGGTATTACAGGAAATGTTGAGTGTTTGACAGTTGGTGAGATGTTAAAGGCAGGCGTGTAAGAATTTTAGGGGAAACATTTTGTAACTAGAATGTAGATTTGTTGTATTGTTAATATTATATCTATTATTTTTAAGACATAAGGAAAATTTAAAGGAAGAGTCTAATCAAAGTTTAATTTGATAAAATATGGCAACAATTCAAAGTATTTTTATGAAGATTTTGAAGAATTCTTTACAAGGTTCTTTTAAGATTTTACAGGGTTTTCTAAACATTTTCGATTGTTTTTGATTTGACGTTTTTTTAATGATTTTTATGATTTTTGATTAATTCGAGTGCCTTTTTAATTAGGTAGTTTTTTCATTAATTTCGTGTAGATTTTCATTTATTAATTTATTGCAGCTTTTATACATGACCAAAACGTAAAACTAAAATTGATAAAACGTAGTAAAGAATACAAAAAGAAGAACTAAAGCAACAAAAATTACTAAATTATTTAAATAAAGCTCAAAAACTTATGAAGAAAATTCCTCGAAAACTCTCAATAAAATGGAAAAAATTCAAAAAATTGTAAAATCGCCGAAAAAGCTCCAAACCCCATAA